GTCCAGTCGTACGTACTGGTATGTTATGTTACTTCTTTTTTTCTTTCTTTCTATTTGTACGTTTATGTCTATTCAAGAAATAAACTTGCAAGTACACAAGGTTAATGTAATATAACCAAAAACCTAGATGGTAGCTAAGCATCAAGATCATTAGTTAAGAAAATAAGCACAATGATTAAATTTCAACAACATGAAAATTCTAATAGCATGACATAATTAAGCTTTGAATAATTAGAAAAGGGTTACATTGTGTCTTAGTAAAAGAAAATTAGTTACTCATAATCATGGTAACAAAGCAAAAATAAAACATGGAGAAAGAGACAAGAAAAACCCTTAGAGTTTAGAGGCACGGTCACTCTTCCTTGTTCCAGGGTTGAAGTCTGAAATTTCTGGTGTATCTCTTAAGCCCTCACGACCTCCCCTCTTAAAAGAACCTAAAACCTAGTTAGAATGGGCCTAAACAAGTGGCCTTACACGAAGACTTGATTTCCAAGTCAGTTCCTAACTAGAAAAGGTAATTAAAACCAAGTTTCCTAAAACCTCCAGGAAACTGCATGTGATCCTCATTGCGAATACGATTTGGACACCTTTCTGACCTCCAAAAATTTCGTACGACCACTCTTTGGAAAGCTCTGGATGTCTTCTTTTCAGCCATATATCGTGTGCCTCAATCCGATGTCTTATGAATGAGTTATGGCCAAAAAACCCCTGCTGACTCAGTATTCTCCGGGAATTGGTTTATGCTGAGTTTTCTAATTAAAAATGGGCACCTTAGCGGTCTTAAAAAATTATGAAAATATTCATGGATAAACTTCAAAATGCTGTCTTCCATCTCCAATTGGAATCATGTCAAACTCTATTATGATGAATATTCGGCGAATTTATACATTTCGTGGCTCATAAGCTGAAATCAGGAAATGACTAAACTCGGCATCTTTAGTCCAAATTAATTCACAAAACTAAGTAAAAAGGATATAAAATCATGTGAAATTATGAACATATCAACATTACACTAATAAGAACTTGTAAGGTCAATTGGTAACCAAAAGTTGGTCTATTACGCACCTCTCATATTATAAGATTTTGCTTTTTAACTAACTTTAACAAAACCAGAAATTGCTTTCTTAAGCTCTCGGTCAAGATTCGATTCCCTACATTGTATAAGAAAATGCTTTCTTACTTACTAACCATAAATGTGCAGGTAAATTATGCATTGAGGTCTTACCTACGTCCAAGGATGCTCGTATCTCCGAAGAGTTATGCATTGGTTGTGGTATATGTGTTAAGGTGAGTGAAGATTGTATTTGGTTTGGTTTAAATTTCCTATGTTTTATCTACTCAAGTTGTTTTTGAGGGGAGCCATTCTTTTGACTCTGGCTATCATGTGATGTGATAATGCAGAAATGCCCATTTGGAGCAATTGAAATCATCAACTTGCCAAAGTCATTGGACAAATATACAACCCATCGTTACGGTTTGAACTCTTTTAAATTACATAGGTCAGTTAATTCCTCACCACTTTGTTGTGATCTTTGATCAGTTTCAGGTTTTAGTGTTTTGAAGTTAATATAAATTAAATTGTACATAATTACAGGTTACCAGTCCCTAGGCCAGGGGAAGTTCTTGGTTTGGTTGGGACTAATGGCATTGGGAAGTCAACTGCCCTCAAAATTTTGGCTGGCCAGCTGAAACCGAATTTGGGTCGTTTCAATGTAACACTCTTT